CTACCGTGGGCATCTCTGGGGGCCCTCGCGCTCCTGGAGCGGGTGCTTTGGGGTGGCTTTCTGATTCCTCTCCTTCCGCGCCCCGGGGCCGATGGAGCTGCCCGCGCCTGGCAGCGCCCGCTGCCGCAGGGTGTGTGGCGGGAGCCGGAGGGCGCCGGGCAGGAGCTTTCTCTTGGAAATGGCCGTTTGCATAATGCGCCGCGTAATTTCTGAAGCTGTGCTGCTAGCGGGGCTGAGCGTCAGTGCCGAGCCTCGTCTCTTTCGCATACTGGTTAGGGAGCTTTGGGACCTTGTGCTGCAGGAAAGGGGCTCGAGGTTAAGAAATCCTTTCATTCAGTAAAACGAAATAAATCCAACCGTTTTCTCAGCCAAGGGATGTGCTAAAGGCCTACCTGTCTTAATTTATACTTTTTCTTTGCACCTCAGTTGGTTTGGGGGAGTGTGAAACTGCAGGGTGGACATCTGGGGTGGAGATAGGAACAGACCGATTTTTTTTTTTTTCTGCTCTCTTTTCTAATTCTCTCTAGTACTTTTGAGTAAGTTATACCAAAACCAAAAGAATTATATTAATTCAGCAGTGTTTTAATTTATTACATGTTCTTTTATTCAAACAGTATTCTTTTCTGATGATAGGGTTTAAAAACAGACCCTTGGTAGTGACTCTGCAAAGAAGTAATTACTAGGGATCATGCAATTTATAACTATTTTCCTGGGATCTTATGGGTTGGGGTTTTTTTTTGGTTTGGTTTGGTTTTCTTTTTTTCTGAGTGTTAAACTTGTGTAATCGAGAATGTGAAAACAAGGAAAGACCAAAATTAAGTTTGGCCTTGCAAGCTGAAGCTGTCACATCATCTCTGCATTTCCATTTTAATGGCATCTTCAATTACATGTTTACATACCAAGTGTCCTACAGGATCACACCCTTTCTGAAGTGTACCTGTCTGTGCAGGGACTGAAAATGAAAGGACTGTAGGAAGAGAAAGCATTCCATTTGAAATGGAATGGATTTTACTCTTCTCTTAGCTCTGCTGGGATTTAACTTTATATGCTATTAGGCAACAATTGGAATGTCCACCTTTTCCAGCTTCCCATTCTTTTTAAGGCACTTTTTTAATGTGTCCCCTTTTGAAAAGTACTGGACAAAGTAATCAAAAGTTGTGCTGCCTGATGCTACCAGTGACAGTTTATGTGTGTGTAGTAAACGGGAATTTTAAACTACCGGTAGAGGAAACTCAAGGAAGAAAACCTGCAACTTTCTGAACTGTTTTTTTACTTAATGGAAAGAAAGTAGAATACTAGGCTTTTTGTCCTGCTGAAGTTTGCAAAGACCTTACAGAGGCATAGGAAAAATAATGGATTTATTACTTGCTGCTAACATTTCTATGCCTGCAGTAAATATAGACAGTAAATATTTAACAGTAACGTAAACTGTGAAGAGGATAGTGCACAGAGGGCTCTTTATTTCAGTGATACTTTATGTACCATCTGTGCCAGGTTTCAGAATAAACAGTGTTCGTTGCTGAATGCTATCACATAACTAATAGACAATATGCTGGCATCTGTAACAATCTTATTCTTTAATGACCAATATAATTTTTAAAGATCTCAGTCTGGTACCTCCCATACTGTTTTCCCAAGATGCCTAGAATGGGTTCCTTGTGTTTATCCAGGGTGCTGTTGACTTCAGCTGTGCTCCAGAACACTACAGAGATCTTTCCAAAGTGCTCCAGGCAGATGGCATAAAGGGATTTTAGGCAAGGTTTTCTTTATGGCTTCAACCTGTAAGCTGCGTTTCCAGAGATCATGATGTAGGCACAAAATAAAATAAACTTGGAAGAAAAAAATGTTGTTTCCATTCATTCTTGGCAAAAGAAGATTTATCCCTTTACGTGAGGGGTGAGGTAAAAATCTAATGGAAATATTCCTTCTGAAAATATAAAATGATCCTTTTGGGCACTTTAACTAATTGTGGGCCAAATAATTTGATATGTTTGGAAAAAAATAATTTTGCCCAAATAAAACCACATTGACATGAAATTTACATACTGTTTTGCTAATTAGGGATACCAATTAAACTCAGACACCAGAGTGAAAAGAGCAGGTGTATTTTACTTAATAATGTAACAGGATAATACAGAAAACATACAGTAAAAAAAGACAGAACAGTGCACTTAAACAAATAGGAAAATACAGGGTAATGTCATTACTACCTGAGAGAATAGTGATTATGAAAAATACATCACCACTTGCATATGTTACCATCATCCAGATCCGCAGTTGGTGGGGAGCCCCGGTTACGGTGAGGATTTGGAGAACCTTTCCCTGAAAGTGGGAAGTCCTACGCGGTGAGTCCACCCATAGGTGAGGCTTCCAAAGTCGCTGTGAGCCATTCCAGCCTTATATACCTAAAAATCAACAAGCAGAGTAGCTAGTACCTTTGTTTTAAGTGGAAATATCTGGTTCCATTCTCACATTAGATTCTCCCAGAGCCTGACCAGGGCTCAGGGGAGAAACTAAGGGAGTTTCCCAGCTTATCTAATTGATTTATGAGCAAGGTCACACACCAGGTCACAGGGCCAGACAGCTGTCTCTGTGACCCTGTTATCTTGCCTGTACACAAGGAAAGATAAGTGTATATATATATTCAAGATAAACATTTTTAGTACAATACCTACTAGTACAATGGTTATCATCTATAAAATATACAGGATTCATCTATAGGTCAACTCTGTCTTGGGCCGGTTGTCCAAGCCTTAGCACTTCACATCCATCTCTAATAGTGAACTGATCCTTAACGGAGTGAAAAAAAGGTGCCCCAACCTAGATTGAAGCTGAAGATGCAAATCTGATGTTCCATACATCCCTATTGGATCTGTGTCAGCTGCCACCTTAGGAGTCAGCTTTATGTTAAGGCAGCCCTGACCTTGAGGACCCAAACAGTCTGATGTGCTGAAAGTCATGTGCCCCTTTAGCTTCCCACAGAAACAGTCGCTGTGGAAGGGCTTGACAGAACTTCTCAAATGGGTTGCAGTGTGCTGGGAGTGTAATGCATTACTTTGTTAGGTTCATCTAGCAGAGGCTGTGCATGGCAGAGAGGCCATGCAGTATTGCTGTCTGACTCCCTCTCTGAACTTACAAGAGCAGTGTTTGTGCTGTTCACTGCAACATTCAGAAGATGAGTGGTGGTGATCTTGGCAGAAGGGTTGTACTTTGAGTTCGGGAGGTTGACAGATGAAGTTAAGTAGGGAAAAGGCATTAACAGAGATGTCCTGAGCACCAGATGGGGATCCACGGGGAGGACACTGAGGAGGGCTGTGTAGGTACTGGTAACCTCTGACTGTTGCCAGGGAAGTCAGTGCTGGAGAGGAGAGAGTCGTGGCCATACACAAGTCCCCTGTTTGTGCTGTGGCTGTGTGAGGAGTATGCCAGAGCACAGGGAGTTTGGTGTCTCTGACTTGTAGAATCTGGGGCAAGAATGTATAAACTAAGTGAGCTTCCATCCCTGTCCAGGCTAGCAGACTTTTGTAAACAGTACTTTACAGTGTAATATATTGCCACAGCTGCTTTGCCAGTGTCAGTGCTGACTCGTGGAAAAGCAGGTGATGCCCACACCTTTCATAGCTCCAGCCATGCGAGCAGGTTAACAGGGTCTGTCAACAGCAACAGAAGTGCTGTGTTGCTGGTTGTTTCTCTGTGACTCCTGCCTAACCCTGATGGTTTATGAAGCCACTCACAGGCAACCTCCCTGAATGCTGGGCTTTTGTGTCTGCAGCTGCAGTGTGTCTGTGGAAAAGACCGGGAGTCCCTCAGGGTCAGAGCTGAGTTTGATCTGCAGTGCATGAAAAAGATCTGCTGTGTCTGTGCTTCTGAGAGGCCAAGAAAGAGCAGATGGCTGTCGGATGGGACCAAAGTACCTGAGGGGAACCTGCTGTCAAGTGCCAGCACCAGCTGCAGCCACTTCACTTGCCTGTCAGTGCTGGGAAGGTAGTCCATGAGGGAGGCCCATACTTCCTATTGAGTATAAAGTGGTTTGTAGTGTGGAGTAGCTTTCCCTTGCATTGAGCATTTGATTAGTGCAGTGTGTGTGTGTGTGCGTGTGTGTGTGTGTTAGTGCAATTGGGTTCTTCCCTCTTTCCTTTTCTTTTCTCCTCATATTTCCTGTTCGCCTGGTAATTTTGCTTGTAACGCCACCTCAGCCAATTTTGTTTGCAGCAGTGGTCCCAGTTATAGCTAGCTCTTTTTTATATCCTGGCCAGCTCTGCCCTGGGAGGGTTGTGCAGAGACATACTGAACTCAAGGATATTTTTTAAGGGCTTTATTTAAATTAGTATGTAAAATAAAAGAATACTACTACAAGATGTGTGAAGCATGAAGGAGAACTAAACAGGGCAAAGAAAATGGATGAATGTTTCTATTTTAGAGTGTACCCCAAACAGAGGTGGGCTAATGCTTTTTACTATCCACTCAACCAGAGCATGAAGTGAGTGCTTAGAGGTTTTACATTGTAAAGCTCCCACTGTAGAGGCTGCATGTGTAGTGTAGAAGACAACAGTGAAGTAATAAGAGATGTACAGGACTCCATGGCTGCTGCAGAGCCCTAGTTAGATGACTTTTGGTATCTGTTCACCTTCCCAGACCAACTTTATGTTTATTTGTAAGAAACAAAAATTGTGTATTCATCGCATGACTTCCCATGGCTGCCATAGAACAACCCACCACTGATAAGAACATGAAAATCCACTTCTCCATTTCTTCTCAGCACTACTGCAATGCCTTCCCTGCCCTCACACTGCTGTGGATTCACCACCTGGAGTATTAGGCATTCTTGAGGCAATTTTGGAACTCACTGAGAGAGGCAGGCTTTGTGAAATCCTGCTCAATTTTATCCGGCATGGTGTCCTGTGGAACAGACAGGCTATACCTTTACCTCTGTCTCTGGGCATCGGAGCTCAGTTTTTCATAGTTGGCAACAAAATGTCAACTATCAGCACCCATGCCAAAGTGTATGTGGTACAGGTTAAGTGGAACAGTTGTTAAAAGCGTGGGACCAGCTGCAGTCTGGTGCATGGAGAAGGCAACAGCCCTGGGCACTGCTGAAGGTGGAGGTGTGGTGGTTGTGTTAGGTCATTCTGTTGGTTAAATGCCTAAGGCCTGGCTGCATCTACAGAAGAGAAGAAGGGAAAATAACTATGTCAGGAAAGGTCCCACACAATTAATTTTTTATCTGGTCTTGATCCTGGATCTGTCTTGATGTCCTGTAGGAACTGAAGAGTCCCTAGGTACCTGTAGCCCAGCTTTTCTCAAAGGTTTTCTCCTCTTAGCAGTGTAGTCCTTTGGCTACGGATGTTTCCTTTTCCTTAGTGGAGAAGAAATGGATCCAAATCCAAATATGGGAAGGGGCCATAATCTGCAGTGCATGTGAGAATTATGTCTGTTCCTCACCAGGATAGGATCCAGCTCCTGCAACTTGCAGCAGGTCACACTGCCAGAACTAGAGTTATCAGGGGCATTCATGCTCCCTGGGTATGTGCTGTTCAGACCCTGCCTCCTGCATTGCTCCAGGTCTGCTTAGCACTGATACCGAGATGTTCAGCCAGCAGCAATTCAGCAAAGCTCCTCACTGATTGCCAGGAGACATAGTTTTGCCCTCCTGCCTGCTCGCTCCCATGAGCATAGTGCACTGAGTTGCATCCTGGGAATGTAGCTTATGGCAAGTCTGGCTCTGTAATGGGGCTTGGTTCTGGCTTAGTGGCAATGCCAAGATTATTAAATGCAATACCTGTGATTCAGGAAAAGGCCTAAAGGAAAGCAGAAGAGCCCAGTCCAAGAGAGGGCATCCAAGGTGAATTGTCAGATGCGAAGTGTGACAAAGAGAGGGAGCTGACTATGGTAAAGCTCCAGACAGAGAGAACATAGTCCAAACCTGCGTTTGTGGAAGAGCAGCTGCAGCCAGGTCCCGTAAGCTTAGGAGTCAGGGAGTGGGAAGGGAATGAGAAGGCACCTGACAAGACCTGCGGGTGGTCTGGGGATATAGGTACCTGCTGCTTGATCTGATACAAAACTGGTTTGCCAGAGTGTTTGGAACAAATTTTAATGGACACAGTGCTTATGAATCAGATCAGTGCTCACCTGACTGAAATTTTTAACATGCTCCTTCAGACCTTATGTCATCTTACAGGTACAGTCAAACCAGGTTTAGGATAATGGGAAAGGATAGAATTTTACTCTCTTGATGAGTCATAGATTCGTTAATAGGCCAGTTAGGTACAGAGATTGACAGCTATTCTGCAAAAAAAATTATTACATCTCTAAGGAAATGAAAGAGTCTGTAAGAACTGAAGTGTAGAAACATCTTCTGAATAAGTAAGAAATTAAGAAGTTTAGAGGGGAAAAGGCTGAATTTGTGTGGAACCCCTAGAGGATTAGAAGATCAAGATTTATTTGTAAAGCTTATGTGATGCATAAAAAGAGGCTCTGTAGATACAGCCTAAGCTGTATGGTATGCAGAACACTGCAACCACAGGAAATATGAAGAGAGAGATTTTATTTTTATATTTAATCTTGGTGCAAAAACTTAAGCACTTGTAGCTTGTTGGTTTTGGATGCTGTACAGAGAAATCCTTTTGTTTGGTTTGTAAACAGCTTGAGAGTTAAATGTGATTTTACTTGTAACTGAACGCCAAGACTGTGGAGGATCTGAACCACAGTGCACTGGCATTTCAGCTTAGGAAATGCCCAGCACTCCAGCACAGGCGAAGTGCATTGAAGCTGTGCATAGCAGTCTGAGAAAGAGTTGTTGCAAAAATCAGGAAAAACAGAAAAATATGCTGGTGACAGTAAGGAAACTGCTCTGATAATGATAAAGGAGTGGGGAAGACACTGAACTTTATGAATATTGAAGTTTGTGGCAGCTGTTAAGCACAATCCACATTTCGATCAAATAAATTACTTACCTTAGCATAGACTAAAGTTTAGGGGTCCAAGATAAAAAGATGATATTAATGACCTGACAGTAATTTCTGGTCTTCAGTGCAAACAAAATCTTCAAGTCTGTAAAGTGAGTAAAAATGCTATCAAATTAGAACAGCATTTACATATGAATTGGAAATATCCATTAGAGTGAAATACCCATTCCATTTAGAAAGGAATAGATGACTATATAAGTACAAGGCAGTGAAATATCATATTTCGCAGTTTTGTGGAGAGTCTTCTTTAAAAGTCTATTTTATATCGCCTGAGAGGTTTGATTGCTGATGGATTCTAACAGAGTCTTCAAGAAAGGATTGTGGTGGTAAAATCCCTCAGCTAGGCAGAACTTCATTTTAACACTGCGCTGGTTTACAGAGGCACCTCTCAAAACTGTCACGTTTATTCACAGATTTCCTGTCCACCCAAAACAAGATAGCATATTCTCTTGCTTCCAGCACTTTAGAAAGCCTCAGAAATGACACTGAATACTATCAGTTGCTCAGAGTTCTGTGGCAATCGCAGCCGAAGGCCATTTTTTCTCCTCAGTTTCCACCCACAACTGCTCATTTCTGGCCCCGCATTCTTCTTCCCCAAGTTGTACCAGCACAGCTATTCATGGAGCTCTCCTGCAAACTGGGACAGTGAACTGAGCCAGAGTTAAAGCAGTTTTATGTCCCTGTGTGGCACTGCCCACCTGAGCTCTTTAACTGGGTGCAAGCCCAAACCCGCCTGCTCTCCCCACAACAAGATGTTCCCAACTGTGTGTTTCTGCCATTTCTGTGCAGACTAGTGTAAGTGAAGCCACACGGGGAGCTGGGTCAGGGAACTCATTCATTTGAAAACTAACCTGGCAAAACAAACAGAAGGTGTCGGGCATGGAATGGAGATTGAGTGTTACACTGCTCTTTGGGATGGCAAAACTGATTTTTTGCTGATTGTTGCTACGTTCTGAGGAATTGGATGTCATGCCATGGGCTGGAAGTGAGGGTCAAAGAACACTTTAAGGCTCCTAAGTATTGTTTCCAAAGTCCTGTGTTGTAAAACTGCCTCCTGCGCTTCCTATTGTAGCTCCAAAATACCTTTACAAAAGAGTACAAATACCCTTATTAAAAGTGCCAGTTCTCTTTGAACATCTGAGGGTGATTAACTCAAAAGGAAAAAATAAGCCCCAGGTCTTCCCACTGCTAATCCATTTGAAGAAAGCAGTCTTGAGGTCTAGGCTAGTTCAGAACTCCTGGCCTCAGCTCTCAAAATTAACATCTGGTTTCAGAATACTTGTGCTTTGCAGTTGATCAGAAACAAACACACCAGTGGCAAGTGCCTCCTGGTTGTGGATGCTTGTCATAGTTTGAGCCCAGAGAGCAGCTGAGCACTCACACAGCCACTCACTCCCCCATTCACCCCTCAGGAAGGAGATGAAGGGAAGGAGGAAACAAATACAATGTCTCAGGAATCAAGATGCGGACAGGGAGGACAGATTCACCCCTTATGGTCACAAGCAAAAGACAGACTCATTAGGGGAAGGAAAGAGAACATAAACTTAATTCAGACACTAACAACAGCAACAACACTTATCAGAGTAGGACAGTGAGAAGCATTACCAGATATTAAAAGCACCTTCCCCCCACACCTCCCTTCTTCCCAAGCTCAGCTTTGCTCCTGAATTCGCTACCTCCTTCCTCCAGCGGCGCAGGGGACATGGAATGGGGGGTTATGATCAGTCCTGCCGCTTCTTCCTCCTCGGGGAGGGGGGGAGATCCTCACATTCTTCTCCTGCTCCATCATGGCTCCCCTCTCATGGGAGACAGTCCTCCAGAAACTTTCTCTGATGTGAGTCCCTCCCACAGGGCGCAGTGTTTCCGTAGCTGCTCTGACCTGGGTCGCTCCCATGTGTTACAATCCTCCCAGCACCAAACTACAATGGTGGGGACTTCTTCTCCCCACAGAGTCCCAGCCTTTTTCAGGTGCAGCCACCTGCTCTGGTGTGGTGTCCTCCCCTAGCTGCAGGTGGGCATCTGCTCCACCGTGGACCTCCATGGGCTGCAGGGGGACAACCTGCCCTCTCACCACAGGCTGCAGGGGAGTCTCTGCTCCAGCGCACCTCTCCCCTTTCTGCTTTCTTCCACTGACCTCGGGGTTCACACAGATGTCCTCCTCACAACTCCTCCTCACAACTTCAACTCCTCCTCCCACATTCCCCTTCTTAAATACGTTATCACAGAGATGCAGCCACCATCGCTAATTCGCTCAGCCTTGGCCAGAGGGAGGTCTGACTGGGAGCTGGGGGAGTTGGAGAAGCTTCTCACAAGGACCACGACCGTAGCTCCCTCCCCTGCTACCAAAACACCCACCACACACACAGAGTCAGCACAGTGCTCCTCTGGAGAAAAGGGGAGAGTTTGCTGTCTGAATGCCTCCCAACAAACTTTGCCTAGGAAGTTTTTATGAAGGGATAATACAAGAATTTAGGGAAAATATTACTTTGAAAGTTGAGGAGCTTGGACAAACTCTGTTATTACCTGACACATCTCTAGTTTGTGGCAGTGAGCATTACTTTGGGTTCTCTACTCTACTCTGGCCTTTTTTTTTTTTTTTTTTTTTTTTTTTTTTACCACCAGCTTCAGGGAGGTTTACTCTGGTATACTGAGGTGTTGACTTTATTTGGATGATGAATGCTGAAATAAAGTGAATATTTTTACCTTTGCTGTGGAGGACACTGTTGAAAAGTTTATGATTTTATGGTAGTTGTTTCAAAATTACTCTCAACTTTCAATACTTAATACTGTAATACTTTTAATACTTACGAACTTTCATAACCTATAACCTTTAACTGGCAATAGTCTAGCTTTAGGATTTAGAGGATACTGAAATGGAGACCTTACTAGGTTGCTTTGGGGTTATACAGAGGTTTCTGATACTTACTCAGTTTCACTGATCTCGGTAACCATCATCCAATGAATGATCTAGTAGTGAACATTACAGAACAATTACATGCAAAAGTAGTAAGTAGAAGGTGTTCATTTTTATATACGTTCTTAGTCAAAAGCTGAGGACAAGTGTCTATCCTGTATACATCAATTAAAATTAAGTAATTTACAATCCGGAGTTTCCACTAGTACAAAACCTAACCATATTGCATGAGACTGTAGATAGGGATAGTAGTATAGCAGTTAATATGCCATCTACTACTTCTAAGGTTTATGTTTTTTATTCTGTAGACTGTTCTTAACTGAGTAATAAACTTGATAGTCTTGGCTTTAATGAGAACGTTAAAGTGTAGGAATGTTAAACTAGCCTGCACAAAATTGCTTACTTTGGCTTCTGTATACCAGTCTGTGCTCACCTTGAATTTCCATGTGCCTAGAGACAATAGACAGCCAGCTGGTGATGAGATTTGATGAAAAATGCACACTGTATTTCCTCTGGCTCCTTTGAATATCTTGTAGCTTCCATCTTTACGCTGCTGCTGCTATTCTGCCAATTGGAAAGTAGCACCAGAGTGGTTGGGAACAGAATTTTATGTGAGAGGATCTTCTTTTTAAGAAAGAATTGCCTTCCTGTTCAAGAAGTAGCTGAATCAATATTATGCAATTTCCATTCTTGTGTTCTGTGAAAATTAATGAGAGCATTGTGAGACTGTTTGGGGGAGGTGATGTTTCTACAGGTACTAGCTTGCCAACTGAGAAAATTTTGTTCTTTTCACTTTTATGTAAGTAACAATGACTTAAACATAACTATTTTATTAAACTGATCCAATGATGTATAGTTTGTGTACAGCAGTTTCTATTCTATTGATAACTTTTTCTATGAGCAATTCTGCCCCTATTATACAGAATATTTATTCTAAATATTGACAATGGATTTAATTATTTCCTGAGCCTGAATTCCACTTCCTAAATGGTCTGGCATCACTCTCAAATTAGATGTACCAGGTTAGCACAGACATCAGCTCTGCATTTGAGTGCATGGTCTCCAGGTCTTCACACAGCCTCTACGTTACTTGCAATTGGCTTAAGTCTGGAACAAACACTGGCTCACCAGATAAGGGAATTCAGGCACAAGGAGGATTCAGGCAGTGTGAGGACAGCCAGTGTAAATCATGTAGTGCAGCAAACAGAAGTCCACATTCCAAAATGACAATATCTGAGAAGGAGCGAGAGAGGAACTGGCATGATGACATCACTGACTCTAGTTTTCTTAACATGACTGCTGAGGTAGGCTGGAGGTCCAGCTCACACGCTGGCTAATGCCAGGAGAAACACGAAGACTTGTTTGCAGACTGAAGCTGGTGCTTGTGCACCACATACTTTTCAAAGGGGAAATGCCAGCATTTCATTCTCAACTTGCCAAGAGCAATAGGTGTGATGGCTACTGGCTGGTCTCTTTACTCATCCTAAAGATTTCTTTAGCATGTGAAATGTCTGTTGTTTCTTGCTCATTTACTAGTTATGTGTGAAGTGTCTTTTACACAGTGGTTGAGTGAATATTCTGCCTTCACTAGCAAAGGTCTCTGTTCTGGTTCCATGTAGTTTGGAGTACGCCTTCATGTGAGATGGCCCCAGATCTATAGTAATCAAGTTTTCCAGTGCAAATGACCCACAGGACTTACAGCAATTATGAACTAGAATTGCTGCTGTAGGTCTAGGTGTCTAGCAGCTCAGTATCCAGAGCTGGTACCTTGGTTTGGATTTCACTCTGTTTTCATGGACAGCTGACAGGGCATTATGTGGTAATATGTGACTGTCATCAAATGGATGTCTTTGACTTTATATGCAGTGCCATATCAGAAATACCAGTCCATATTCCCTGCAGAAGACCTGATTACACAGCATGCCCCCAGGGAATGTGAGCAACCAGGAGCACGGCAAACAGGGCAGGCAAACAGGACGTGGCGCATCAGAAGGTTGTGGCGCGTCAGTTTGCGCAGCAGTTCACAGTCCATCTGGGTCTAGAACTTACCTGAGCGAGTTTCATCTTATTGTCCTCCATGAGGGACTGAACCATGGTCTCCACTCATGACAAAACCACCACCAGAAAGAACGTGGCGACCCAGACAGAGCTGCCACGCAAACATGCAGCGGTCCAGGTCTTGGGCTGCAGGGATTGCCTGGGCCTGACAATCCTGCTGGAGGGCAGCAGGGACAGCACCTGTGTGCGCTGCGACCGATCATCTGGGTGACCTGCTCAGCCTGGTGGCAGAACTCAAAGAAGAGGTCAAAAGATGAAGAAGTATTAGGGAGGGTAAAAGGGAAATTGATTGGTGGAGTAGCACCTTGGCACCCATGAAGCAACAGGAGCAAATGGAGGCTCCAAAAGAGGCAGACAATCCCTCATCCTCTTGCTACCAGGCAGAAGGAGGGGACCTAAGAGATGGGGGAGGCTGGAAACGGGTCCCTGCTCAGGAAGGCAGGAAAATCCTCTCCCCACCTCCCTCACCCTCCATGGTGCCCCTTCACAATAGATTCGAGGCCCTGGAACTTTTGAACGAAGAAGAGAAGGAGGAAGAAAATGAGACAAACAAGGAGGAAGACCAAGGTCCACCAAGGCTGGGTCATTCTAGACTAGGCATTAAAACCAGTTCTAAGAAGAACCCCAGAAGAGTCATTGTAGTGGGTGACTCCATTCTGAGGGGTGTCAAAGGTCCAATATGCAGACCAGACCCACTCCATAGGAAAGTCTGCTGCCTCCCTGGGGACCGCGTCAAAGACCTCATGGCAAAACTCCCCACTCTAGTGAGACCCAAGGACTACTACCCTCTCCTGGTTTTTCAGGTAGGTAGTGACGACATTACCAGGAAAAGTCCTAAAGCAATGAAGAGAGATTTCAGGTCCTTGGGGAAACTGATTAAGGGGTCGGGGGCATAAATTGTGTTCTCCTCCATCCCTTCAGTTGGAGGGATGGATGAAGAAGAATACAGAACTCAACAGATGAACTTGTGGCTCCAAGACTGTTGTTACTGTCAGGGCTTCGAATTTTTCAGTCATGGGTTGGTATACAGGGCACCAGACCTTTTGGCATTAGATATGAGATGGGATGCACCTGTCCCAGATGGGGAAAAGGATCTTGGGGCAGGAGTTAGCTGGGCTCATAGACAGAGCTTTAAACCACATTTGAAGGAGGAAGGCGGCAGAACACCAGCACATCTGAAGTGCATGTATACCAATGCACACAGCATGGGTAACAAACAGGAGGAGCTTGAAGTCATGATGAAACAAGAAAATTATGATGTAGTGGCTATTACAGAAACATGGTGGGATGTCTCCCATGACTGGAGTGTGCCATTTCATGACTACAAGCTCTTTAGGAGGGACAGACAATGAAGGATAGGGGGTGGGGTGGCACTGTAGGTCAGCGACTGTTATGATTGCTTTGAGTACAAGTGTATGAAGACAGGGTGGAGTCTTTGCGTTAGAATCAGGGGGAAGGCTAACAGGGCAGATGTTGTAGTGAAAGTCTACTATAGGCCACCTACCCCGGACAGAGAGGTGGATGAAATATTCTATAGGCATTTAGGAGAAATCTCACGATTGCTTGCCCTTGTTCTTGTGGGAGACTTTAACTTCCCAGACATCTGCTGGTAATACAACATGGCAGAATGGGACCAGTCCCGGAGATTCCTGGAATGTGTGGGAGACAACTTCCTGGCACAGCTGGTGAGTAAACCAACCAGAGAAGGTGCCCTGCTGGTTCTCCTCCTTGTGAAAAGAGAAGCATTTGTGGAAGATGTGGCGGTTGGAGGCCAACTAGAGCATAGCAATCATGAAATAATAGAGTTCTCTATTCTTAGAGAGGCCAGGAGAGGGGGCAGCAGAACTGACACCCTGGACTTCCAAAGAGCTGACTTTGTGTTGTTTGGGCACCTGCTTGACAGGATCCCTTGGGAGACAGTCCTGAAGGGTATAGGGGCCCAGGAAGGCTGCGGGCTCTTTACAAAGAAAGTCTTAATGGCTCAGGAGCAGGTGGCCCTCAGGTGCTGTAAGAGAAGCTGGTGCCAGAGAAGGCCACCCTGGGTAAACAGGGAGCTTTGGCTGCAACTCAGGGAGAAAAGGAGAATTTACAGCTTTTGGTGGAAGGGGCTAGCCACTCACAATGATTACAAAGATGCTGGGTGGAGATCAGGAGGTCTAAAGCCCAGCTAGAAATTAATCTGACTTCAGCAATCAAGGATAACAAGAAGTGTTTCTATAAGTATGTCAACAGCAAAAGAAAAACCAGGTAGAGCCTCCATTCCCTGCTAGATGTGGGAGGAAACATGGTAAAAATTGATGAGGAAATAGCTGAGGTGTTTAATGCTTTCTTTGCCTCAGTCTTTAATAACAAGAGTAGCTGTATTGAGGGAATCCAGCCTCCTCAGCCACAAGACAGAGACTGGGAGAACGACTTCCCCCTGCATTCTGGGAAGAGACAGTGAGTGACCTACTGCATCACATAGACGTGTGCCCAGGGGGCCAAGAAGGCCAATGGCATCCTGGCTTGTGTCAGCAATAGCGTGGCCAGCAGGGACAGGGAAGGGATCTGACTCCTGTACTCGCCACTGGTGAGGCCGCCCCTCGATTCCTGCGTTCAGTTTTGGGCCCCTCACTACAAAAAGGACATTGAATGACTCGAGCGGGTCCAGAGAAGGGCAACGGAGCTGGTGCAGGGTCTGGAGCACAGGTCGTACGGGGAGCGGCTGAGGGAACTGGGGGTGTTTAGTCTGGAGAAGAGGAGGCTGAGGGGAGACCTCATCGCCATCTACAGCTACCTGAAAGGAGGGTGCAGAGAGCTGGGGATGAGTCCCTTTAACCAAGTAGCAAGTGATAGGACAAGAGGGAATGGCCTCAAGTTGTGTCAGGGAAGGTTTAGACTGAATATTAGGAAGCATTTCTTTCCAGAACGGGTTGTTGGGCGTTGGAATGGGCTGCCCAGGGAGGTGGTGGAGTCCCCATCCCTGGAGGTGTTCAAGAGTCGGGCTGACATAGCACTGAGGGATATGGTGTAGTTGGGAACTGTCAGTGTGAGGTTAATGGTTGGACTGGATGATCTTCCAGGTCTTTTCCAACCTAGACGATTCTGTGATTCTCCTCAGCTCTGTCATTGCCCATTGGTTTTCATGTGGATTGATCAGTGTTACAGAGATCCAGTTAATGGTTAAAGAAGAGGCTCTGAAAGTTCCATTCTCTGTATTACACAATGGATTTCATACTCATTATAAAGAGTTACAAAGGTATATTTACAAAGGAAGAAGGGAGATTAAATGATCGTGAGCTTAATCACATTATAATTCTTTTTTCAAAACCCATGGTAAGTAGTTACTTTTGGCTATACTCTTCAGCCACATCTGTATCTTGTTTCTTATCTTCTGACTCCCCTAATCAAGACCCCACTGTTTTTCCATGTTAAAAATATTAATAATGCTAGTTTTGGTCCTGACTCTGTGAAATATTTATGTTTATCTCTGACTATTTTTCTAACATGTTCCTGATTAGAATATTTAATTTTTAAATTTATTTTATTTGATTAATTTTTAAATCATAAAGTTTTATGACTTTAATTAGGAAAGTTAGGAGATTACAGATGAAATTTAAAGACTACCCAGGAAGACATAACTGAAAGAATAATTGCTGGTTTGTCCTTTTAATACTTTTCTAGGTGTAAGACTAGGCAGATGAAAAGGAGTAGTTGTAAGAGAGAAGGATGTTAGCTGAAGGATGAAGAGTGTGAAGTATCAGTGCATACTGCTCACAAGTATTTACGGGAAACTTTTTGTCTCTGTAGATATTAGAAGTTGTGACAAACATTTTGCTGAAACATTCCTAAGTATGTAACAGCCACTCTGTTAAAAATGCCCTCCTTCTGCTTGTACTAGTATTGTTATTGTAATACATGCCTAATTATGGAGGTCTGTTAAGAATGGTGTCCTTCTGTTTTTTACTAGTATAGGGTAAGCAGTGCCTTGCTCCCCATTTCTAAAAGAAAACTGTGAACTATCATGGTATCTTCACATCAGTGAAATGTGTATAAACAAAGGGGTTCTTGTTTATCTGTCCTTTGCCTCAAGGAGTCAAACTGCTGGCTGCCTGCCTTTGTTGTTTCTGAATGTGAACATGTTCCATGAAGATTTTTAGAAATAGTAGACTAAGGGTAGGAGCGGCACAAACTCAGGCTCTCATTCACCACAGAAGGAAAAAATGTGCTTTCAGATGTGAGGGAATGTTCTCATGCCCATGAAAAAGCACATTTATACATTCGAATACAATATTCTGTTAAGCAGAGTAGAACTACCTGCAGGGATTGCATCAATCAAGTGGATGTTTTTTCGAAGTATCTTTAGATATTAGTGAAAAAATTGTTCCAGAACAACTATATTTTGTTTGAACATTGCAATCTGGCCTTTTATCTTTACATATAGTTATGATTCTCACAAAATATTCTAGAATAGGGATATGGATTTTTATTATTTACATTTTTGTGAGGAGTAAGATTAAGAATAGTTTTTAGATAGACTAAAATTTGATGCCTTAAACAATTTTTCCTGGTTAGGCGAAGAACATACTGTTGACTGATACATGTATTTTGACATTGAAGAGCTTTAAAAGTGTATTAAAAATATTTTTTCTTATATTTTTTCTTAATATTTTCTTCTACATAAAATGTATTCCTTATTTTGCTCTGTTCTTAGTTATTTTTCTGTAATCGCCTCATGTTAGTCTGACTTCTACTCCGAAGAATAACTGTCTGCAACAAAATTTGACTAATTTTCTGCTAATGACCATGTTTCTCTGGAATGAATTTAAAGTCTTCCAAGGCATTTAGAGAGCCAAGGCCTCAAGCACATTGAATCCAATGTAGTAAGGACTCCCCCCACACACACACCTTTTGTCTCCTTTTTTCTCGAAAGTGAATGTTTTCTGGAGAGCAAGACACTTCTCTGAAAGTTAAAATCTATATACCACCACCCCTGTTAAAACACTTTGCATCTCTTGATAATCCTTTCTTCA